CACTTGAGCCACAGCGCCACTTCTGGCTTTTTTCTTTTTGCTTATGTGGTGCTGAGGAATCGAACCCAGGGCCTTGAGCATGCAAAGCAAGCACTCTACCACTGAGCCACCTTCCCAGCCCATGCAGTGAATTTTATAACTACACTCTCTCCTTTTTCTCTTCATTTGTCTACTTCCCTCCCCTTGATTCCAATCCCCTTTCAAGTACCATTTTCCTAGTGTTTATTTTGGTGGGTTCTCAGCCTTTCTAAGGACTTAGGCTGTTTTGAGTTCTCTTCTGAATCTACCAGAATTCAGTTAATACCACTTATCTACACTTGAATAGCACCTTGAAATGTTTACTTATATATTTATAGATTAATTCTAGGTTCCACGGGTAAGCTAAAGCATGCATCCTTTGTCGCCCTGGGCCTGACTTATTTCCATAAGCTCATGGTATGGGGCTCAGAGAATATTCATCAGATAAATACATGGGATAAAAATGGATGACATGTCCATCTTTTTCCCATCTGAAGCTGAGTAGCGAGTTAAAAGATCATTGACAAGAAATACTGCACCATCAAAATTTACCTCCTTGCTTAGCATGAGTTCCTTAGATAGAAACAAGAAAGATTTAGTCTAATGGTAACCTCCACTGATCACCAATTCCAGACAGAATCTTATTCTTACATATGGGCGGGTGTGTGTGCAAGCGCATATGTGCATAAAACGCATGCCCTGATATTGAATGTCGAACTCAGGGGCTTGCAGTTTCACTCATCTTTTGCACTCATGGCTGATGGTCAGTGGAGTCATTCTTCATGTCTAGCTTTTCTGCTAGTTAATTGGACAGAATCTCAAGGGCATTTCTGCTTGTGCTGGCTTCAAACTGTGATCCTAACCCATATTTGTTCTTTTCTTCCAATATTTCTTACTTTTGTTTTGAACTCGGGAAAGCCCAAAACTCATGATCATTCTGCCTTCTCTTCCCAGATGCTAGGATTATAAGTATACACTACCATCATTGGCTTCAAAGCTCTTTCTAACCTCTTAGGTCAGACTCCAGCTATGAAAGAGGTTCTGTTGAATCAGAAATATTTGCATTAACATATTAACAAAATACCAGAAATGAAGTTACACCTATATGGATGCTTAATTGCCATCTAAACTGTCAAAATAACACTAAAACCTAATACTTGGCCCAATTCTGTTTTATCACTTAACTGAACTTTCAAAAAATACCATCTTGAAAATGTGTTAGATTGTTTACAGCTTTATAGTTCAAATAAAATGATGGTGTGCTGGTTTTCAAGTGACTGTGAACCATGCAGCTAAATATGGTAGCTCAAGCGTTAATTTTCTCCATAACTTTTCTCAGTCAGGAGGAGTGCAGCGTAAGACACGATGATGCGAGAAGTAGGAATGGAACAGGAAATGTGTTCTCATTGAATTGCTCAAGCCCTTTTGAAAATTGCTTCTTTCTGTATTTCTGAGAAATGCAACACCACATCAATTCCTTGCATTCTCTCTTTGTCATCATCTATTATTTCTTAACTACTCAATTATCATTTTATTAACGTTCATTCCTTGCTTTTCTAGAAAAATCCAGTTTCTCTTCCTTCATTTTTTTTCCTATCTGTTGAAATAGATTGAAATGGGGAGGGAGGGTGGACAAAACCCATATTCATAAACATTCAATGATGGCAAAGGCAGTATGTCATGTCGTCTCACTATGTATGTATGGCTTGAAACTCCTGTAGCTTCAGCTTCCCGAGGGATGACATTAAAGGCATGCATCACCACACCTAGCTAGGAACCACGACTTTCTAATCTAATCTGAGGCTATATCTACACAATGCCACAATAATCAGGTGAAAAATCACAGCAACACAATGGCTATCTTTAAAACGTATTGTATTCCAGGCATAGATACTGAATCTTTCCATTTTTTGAATGTCTTTTATTTCTTACAGGTACATTGTGGGATTATAAGTGACTTTCTTAAAAATTCTACAGCTGATTCCTTAGTTGTAGGATAGACTTGTAAATGAATACCTGGTAATTCTGTGACATGGGTGCTGCCCAGAGCTGGTGTACTGTGTCTGTGTGGGGGGAAGATTTTTAGGTACTTGTCTGAGTGGAGTCTTGAAGAACAGGTAGGATGTTGCCAGGTAGATACTGGTGGCAGGAGGAATGAGGATGGCATTAGGAGGATGTGCCATATCTCAGACACTCTCTAGAATGTGCTGCAATGGCTAACAGTAACATTTTCATATGTATTTCTTAAGGAATGCACCAGTTACCTGGGGCTTGTGAACATACCAGAGTGGAGTATAATGGAGGCTGGATGAGACATGGTGTGTGGTCCTTATTAAAGATACATGATGTGGGAAGCATCATAGGGCAGCCAGCCTAGCTTGGTGGGGGAATATGGGAGGTTGAGACCACTTATTAGGTTGCCAACATTCAAATTAGAAAAGTTGTGGTGATAAACTGAGGCAGTGGTGATGCAGACAGAGAGAGAAAGATGGAGGTTGATAATTTAGGCAGTAGGTGTGATTTAGAGCTTGATGTCTGGCTTGATGTGTGAACTTAAGTAGCAATCAGAGAGAGAGAGAGTCTCCAAAGACCACTTGAGGTTGGTGGGAATAACATGTAGAATTTGTAAGTGAAACTAGGTGTGGGTGGTTCATGAGCATAATCCTAGCTCCTCCAGGGGTTGAGATATGGAGGATTATGGTTTGAAGCCAAGCCTGGGGAAGAAAAATCCAAGAGCCTTCATCTCCAATTAAACAACAAAGTACTGGACTACAGAGGTGACTTAAGTTGTAGAGCACCAGTCATGAGCAAGAAAGCTGAACAAGGGTGCAAGAACCTGCGTTAAAGTCCCAGTACCAGCACACACACACACACACACACACACACACACACACACACACAAATCAAAAACCAAAAACCAAAACCCAAAAACCAGAAAATAAAATCTGTTGAAGCAAGGGCAAATTTTTACAGTACAATGAGGAGTATTATATAAGGTGTTTTGAAATAATGGTCCTTGACTACAAAGATGAATTACAATGGTGATATCAGTCCAAGATTAAAACACTGCTAGTCAGATATCCTTGTGAAGTATTTGCTGCATAAGTTTGTGGTGGCCTTTGTGAAAAATTGTGGTTCTCGCCGGCTTTTGAAAGAACGGTTACAAGCCCGTGTGTATGAAACCCACCCTTTGTGAATGCTTCAATTTATTTATTTAGGTTTTGGTTAGGGATTGACCAAAGTGATGCCATTTGGATTCTGATGACTTCCGCGGAGGTGAGGAAAAATGGCCTAGAGATTGTGGTCTCACCTAGGCCTGTGAAAGGGCACATAGAATGTGGAAGAGATATGATGGAGCCTGTGTTGCTTGAGAAACAGAAACGAGAGGATTACACATTTGATATATATTGCATATTTGACATGTCTACATATATTTTACTTTTAACTATTTAAATAAAGGGAAATGATTATGTTTTAGTCATCCAAATATTCAGAAGTATGGATATTTAATTTTAAAATTATTATGCTTATACTGGAGAATGGTGTTCAGAAATTTTTAACTGTTAGATTATGATCAAAACTGACTGGAGACCAAGGAATGCTTTTAGGAAGTAGTTTTGAAATATTTACTGGGGGCAAGGGGTCCTTTACTTTCTTAGAGCCTCAAGAAGCTTTTGGATATTTGGATTATACTTCTCTTTAATCTGTTAATTTTAATGTATTAAAATAAAATTTAAAAATTAAATTGGAAAGTTTTAGAATTTAATTGTAACATCATAAATTATTTTTTGAAGAGTATTGTCTTGAAGTAATGAAGTACTTTGAAAATATTGACACATTCCCTTAGAAAAATAAGGAAAGTCACTTATACTAATATTATCAACTAGCTCATTACAAAAATCTTCATGTTTTAGGGAGCTGTCAAATTTGTGGTAGTAGGTTTATTTTCTAAAATTCAATTTTTTTCTGGAAATCTTGTTTTATCATTTGTGACAATTTCTGTCAGCTCCTTTGTTAATTTTGCAGGAAAAGTCTGCCCAATTCTTCCGGCGAATAAATACTGTATCTGTCAGACATTGTCTTCAAATAAAGAAAAACTCAACAGGTTATATGAAAAAAAGTGGCTATTTTATCTGGCTACTAAAATAGCTGCATAAATGCTTTTCCTTGCAGCAGTTTTTCTAATTCAAATAAAACATTTAAAACAGTTGATTTTACTGTCAATGAATGGTGATAAAGTTTATTAGGTATAAAGTTTGTTACAAATACCTTGTTGTATGGTAAGGATTTTGAAATTTTATCCACTATCTCTTACATTATCAATGTAATATATATGGAATATATATTACATATATATGGAGTATATATTACATGCGTACATTTGTGTATATATGCACACATATACATATATGTACGTATGTATACATATATATGTATATAATGGAAGAAACATTTTAATGTATTTTTGAAAATTATTTTAGCTCTGTAGCCCCCATGAGCAATCTCTGAAACTGGACTCAAATGAAGTCTTTAATCACTGCTGGTTTAAAATTATTCTGGTCTGAGCCACGCACCTGTGGCTCATGCCTATAATTCTAGCTACTCAGAAGGCTGAGATCTGAGGGCCACCATTCAAAACAGTCCATGCAGAAAAGTTCATGAGATTCGTATTTGCAATTAACCACCAGAAAACCAGAAGTGGCACTGTAGCTCAAGTGGTAGAGTGCTAGCCTTGAGCAAAAGAGCTCAAAGACAGTGTCCAGGCCTTGAGTTTAAGCCCTAGGATCAACACCCCTTACCCCTACCCCGCCAAAACAAAAAAAGGAGTGCCCTACCGAAATTACTTGATTATTCCTTTCTTTTCTTTCACATTGAGATCACATGTTCTTTTTTAATTCATGCTGTGTCTTTTTATGCGTAGGTCTCGGATGTGGTTTATTATACACTGCAACAGTGACTATTACGTGTCAGTATTTTGACAGCCGCCGAGGTCTTGCACTTGGCCTGATTTCAACAGGTATGTTTTCAAAATCAGTACAATATTGTCATTATTCACCTTCTAAATGAAGTTAAAAGTTACTAGGACTCAATACGTTCAATGAACCATTACCCATCAAGCAGAAAACGATTTTTACACTCCTAGAAGATTTGTTTTTAACCATAAATATTGGAAGTAGCTTTCAAAAAACTCTTAAGACATATAAATGAAAACCCTGCAGTATGGGATGTTTAGTGTAGCTGGGCTACTATACTGAAAGTCATTGCTCATACAAGCTTTGCTAAAAGAAGCAGGGAAACCATGAAGCCTATGTTTCTTTGGCTCTGACTTACTTCACTTAATGTAATTTTTTCCAAGTCTTTCCATTTCTTTATGAATGGTACAATATCATTCATTCTGATGTATGAACAGGATTCCATTATGTATAGATACTATATTTCCTTGATCTAATCGTCCACTCAGGGACATCTAATACCTTGGCTATAGTAAACAATGCTGCAGTGAACATAGTTGTGCTGGTGGCTCTAGTATGGCCTGGTTTGTGGTTTATTGGATAAAAATCTACAAGTAGAATTGCTGGGTCATAGGGGAGCTCTATGTTTAATTTTTTAAGGAACCTCCATACTGCATTCCAGAGCAGTTGGACAAGTTTACATTCCTATAACAGTGTAGTAGTGTTCCCTTTGGGCCACATCCCCCCCAGCATTTGTGTTTTGTTTTTATTGTGAAAGTACTGTACAGAGGGGTTACAATTACATGGGCAAGGTAATGAGTACATTTCTTATCAAGCATTGTTGCCTCCTCCTTTGTTTCCCCTTCCCATCCCTTCCCATCTCCCCCCACCCCAGCATTTGTTATTGTTGGTTTTCCTGACAATTGCTATACTAACTGAACTGCAGTGGACTCTAAATGTTTGATTTGGATTTCTTTTATGGCCAGAGATGTTGAACATTTCTTCATGTGTCTACTGGCCATTCATTTTTCTTCCTCTGAGAAGTCTTTAAGTCTTTAACCCATTTATTCATTAAGTTGTTGGGTTTTGAGGTTTTTTTTGGGGGAGGGTTAATCTAAACACACTGAATGATTTATATACATATATATGCACACACACTAGGGCATAATAATTATATAGGACTCTAGTCCTTTACAAACTGAGGCCAAAGGAGGATATGCATAGGAGTGGTTGACAAAAGTTCAATAGGTATGCACAGGTGATCATATAAAATAATATTCTATGAAATGAACTCTAAGAAAAGGAAGCAAGCAACATTTTTTAGTTGCCATTGTTGCTGTTTTTGCTTTCTATTCTTTTTGTCTTGTTAGTTTGTTTGTACTTGGAAGGGTAAGGTAGGGCACATAAAAGGTAAAACAAGGGGCTGGGAAGGTGGTAGAGTGCTTGCCTTGCATGCCTGAGGCCCTGGGTTTGATTCCTCAGCACCACATAAACAGAAAAAGCCCGAAGTGGGGCTGTGGCTCAAGCGGTAGAGCGCTAGCCTTGAGCTGAAGAGCTGAGGGACAGCGCCTAGGCCGAGTTTAGGTCCATGACCAGCAAAAAAAAGGTGAAACAAGGATGAACAGCGATACTCACTAGACACTATGTGGAAAATGAACTGAGTATCTTATGGGTGGAGATGGGAGGGAAAAATCAGGAGAACGTGACGTAAGGGAAAACTTGGTTAAAAAAAATTGTACTCATTACTCATTACCTGATTGATGTACCTACAACCCTCTGTATATCAACTTTACAATAACAATAAAAAATAAAATAAAAAAGCAGTAAATGCAAGCCAGGAGTCACGGTGGCTCATGCGTGTAATCCCAGCCTTTGGATGACTGAAGCAGGAGTTAACCAATGCAGAAGTATATCCCTTACTGTTTTAAGTTCCTTGAGCAGAGGTTGATATTCTCCCTCCCTGTAGTAGTATACAACCTATGGTTGCAGGGTTGTTTTTTTTTAAGATTAATAAATAGTTTTACAATTTACAAATCCTACAAGGCAACCCTGAAATAACTCTCCATTACTCTGGAAGAATTCCAACAATTTCCTTAGACTTTATCATAGGATGTGGCCTTAAGAGGGTCATTTGCCCTGTCACAATTAGTGAATCAAAAGTGCTCAATAATTATCCGTTGATTATATTTAATGGTGTTTGACAACAGATGGACTGGTTGATGAACAATGGGAAATGGGTTTCTCATTTTAAGGTCCAAATATTAAGAGCATTTTTAAATGTCAGACAGTGTGGCACCTTGTTAAAAAACTTGTGCAAAGAATAATGAAGGATAAAAATGACAAATGGAGCTGAGCACCCAGTGGCTCATGATGGTAATCCTAGCTACTCAGGAGACTGAGGGTCTGAGGATCACAGTTTGAAGCCAGCCCAGGCAGGAAAATCAGTGGAATTCTTATCTAATAAAACGAAAAGCAACCATTAAAAAAAAAACAAAAAACACCCCAAATCTGGAAGTATAAGTGTAACTCAAGTGATGGAACACTAACCTTGAGCAAAAAAGCTAAAGGACAGTACCCAGGCCCTAAGTTCAAGCCATCAGTACTGGCACAAAAACAAAACAAAGACAAAGACAAAGATGAAGACAAATGAATAAACCATGAGTGAATGTAGGTAGCACTATAGTCTGTGAAGCCACCATCTATTAGCAATTATTTCATGTTTGGTTTTTTTTTATGTTTTTAATACTAGAAAAATGTGCCACATTTACAATGAAAGAAGGATTAAATTTGCTGTATGACTTCTCAGTAGTCAGCAGAGACTGAGTAACCACCAGAAGATGGTATTTTAACTACCAGTAGTATATTAACATAGCCATCCATTAACATCTGCAGGCCAAGTTTTCCCCCCTTTGGGAATGAAGGAGTTAACTTGGAAAAATATTAAGAAAGAACAACAGATTCTCAGGAAAAAAAAATGTTTCCTCACAACTGAAAGACACAGGGCCATTTGGTTATTCGCAAGAATTTTTAATGAGTTTTTATAGCAAGCATGTGAAATGTATAATCACCTTGTTTAGACTTTTTAAAATAGATCTAGTTTTTCCTCTGATTGATACTTCCTCTCAATGATACTTAAATTTCAAAATAGTCAATTTTTTAAAATTATGCTATCAGAACCAAGTGAAGACAGTATAAATGACATGGGTCGACATAACTTGATATTCCAGTGTGTTTGGTGAGGTCAAAGCTGAAAGACAGAGTTATCCTGATATCTGTGTGCAGATCAGCATACTTTGTAATGGAAATATTCTATCAAATTATTAATCCATTAAAAGTATGAAAAAATAGGAAAAATATAAAAAATATGAACTCAATCTTGTGATTCAGCAGTCAGTTTTAACTATCAAACCATTATAAATATTTAAAACTAAACTCTGTTATTCATCTCCAAAATGTAATATGAAAAATTGTCTGGCCAAAGGCAATATATATCATGGAGTCTGGTATATAATAAATGCAAAGCAAAAGTAATTGCACAATGATATTTGCTAAGAATATGGGTTCCTAGAGTCAGACTGTCTCAATAGAATGTGAATTCTACTTATGATTACAGCTTTGTAATCTGTATCAAATTTCTCAAGCTTGCTAGGCATTGATACTTCATGTATATTCGGTATAATAATGGGTTCAAGTCAATAGAATCATTACAAGGAATAACATGATTGTGCAAAACAATGTGTGTTACAGTACTAATTCTTTTCTTTTCTTTTTTTGCCAGTCCTGGGCTTGAACTCAGGGCCTGGGCACTGTTCCTGTGTTTCTTTTGCTCAAGGCTAGCACTCTACCACTTCTGGCTTTTTTTGTATATGTGGTACTGAGGAATCAAGCCCAGGGCTTCTAGTGGTAGAGGCAAGCACTCTACCACTAAGCCACATTCCCAATCCTACAGTGATAATTCTTAAAATGAGTATCCCATACGTCTTTTTTTTTTTTTTTGGTCCGTTGTGAGTCTTGAACTCTGGGCCTGGGCGCTGTCCTTCAGCTCTTCAGCTCAACGTTAACACTCTACCCCTTGAGCAACAGGACCACTTCTGGCTTTTTCTGCTTATGTGGTGCTAAGGAATTGAACCCAGGGCCTCATGCATGCAAGGCAAGCACTCTACCACTGAGCCACCTTCCCAGCCTCCTACATGTCTTATGATGACTATTGCTAATATATTTGTGATTTTAAATTGAAGGCGTATGTGAATGCAAGTACAATGAATCATTTGGATTGCCATAGTATTATAGCTTGTGCTGAGAACCCTATATGAAAAGGAAGAGATTAAGACTAAATAGCTTCCATTTCCTTTCTAGGTTCAAGTGTTGGCCTTTTTATTTATGCTGCTCTGCAGAGGATGCTGATTGAGTTCTATGGGCTAGATGGATGCCTTCTGATTGTGGGTGCTTTAGCTTTAAATATATTAGCCTGTGGAAGTCTGATGAGACCCCTCCAGACCTCTGGCTGTCCCTTACCTGAAAAAACAGCTATGGAAAATATACCAGATAAATACTCCATTTACAATGAAAAAGAAAAGAACTTGGAAGAAAACATAAACATTCTTGACAAGAACTATAGTAGTGAGGAAAAATGCAAGAATACTTTGACCAATGGTGACTGGAAACAGGAGATACTATTTTATAAAACCTCTTCATCCATGGCACACACAAAAGAGCCAGAAACATACAAAAAGAAAGTTGCAGAACAAACATATTTTTGCAAACAGTTTGCCAAGAGGAAGTGGCAATTATATAAAGTCTACTGTGGTGAAACTGTGTCTCTTTTTAAAAACAAAGTCTTCGCAGCCCTTTTCATAGCGATCTTTCTTTTTGACATTGGAGGCTTTCCACCTTCATTACTTATGGAAGATGTAGCAAGAAGTTCAAACGTGAAAGAAGAGGAATTTGTTATGCCTCTAATTTCCATCTTGGGAATTATGACAGCAGTTGGTAAACTCCTTTTAGGAATACTGGCAGACTTCAAGTGGATAAATACCTTATATCTTTATGTTGCTACTTTAATAATGATGGGCCTGGCCTTGTGTGCAATTCCATTTGCCAAAAGTTACGTCACCTTGGCTGTACTTTCTGGGATCATGGGCTTTCTGACTGGTAATTGGTCCATCTTCCCATATGTGACTACGAAGACTGTGGGAATTGAAAAATTGGCCCATGCCTATGGAATATTAATGTTCTTTGCTGGACTCGGGAATAGCCTTGGACCACCAATTGTTGGTAAGCTATTTATCTTAAAGTCAACTCAGTTAAACTGTTCTTAAGTATTGAACCTCCAGTTACAGATGTGATGTTTAAGTTGTAATAAGAGCATAGATTGGCACAAAGGAAATCTGTCTGGAATATTTCAAGGTATTAATTTATGCAAGATCATTTTGATATCATTGAAAAAGCCAACTGACCTTTTTGTTCATTCTTACTTGGGAGAAAGTCAAAATGCCTGGGGTAATTTTCATCTGAATGTTTTTGGAAGATGCTCTTTCTCTAGAGCCAGTTCACCGGGTATTGTATACATATCCTGATCCTGAGTGCCTAAAAATGATGAAATCAGGGAGTGTGCTACTTCTATTAAACTCATTTTTTTCCTTATATCTTTTCAGGTTGGTTTTATGACTGGACCCAGACTTACGACATAGCATTTTATTTCAGTGGATTCTGTGTCCTGCTGGGAGGTTTTATTCTGCTTTTGACATCTCTTCCCTGTTGGGCCGCATGCAACAAGCAACTCCCTAAGCCAAGCCCAACAACATTTTTGTACAAAGTCGCCTCTAATGTCTAGAGGAATATTGGAAGGCACTGTTTTATACCATAGAACAAAACATTCTCAAGCAAATTCTCTAGAGTCACGACTGTTTTCTTATAGCAAAATTTCTCTGTGGCTGATTCTAAATGAAAGACTTTTTAAAAAAATCTTAATTTTTATGTACTGTAGGTATAGCCGCTATCCCTTAGATATTCCCCCCATCCCCCGCAAGAAATGAGACGATTCTGTTTTACTGTACTTCATCACTCTTTAACATTGTAAGATTTTGACTACCCTCAGATGACTTTATTCTGTGTACAGAAATAAGGATTTGCTGCTGACTCTGTAAGTGCCACTGCAAGGCTGAAACTCCACAGGGTCTCTTCTGCTCTAACACTGATGTAAGCCTCCCCATAGGCTAAATGGAAGAGCCCCTTGGGAGGAATCACTCTGTGTTAGACTCGTTCATCAGCAGGAGACCTCAAGCCCTGACATTTCCAGAAATAAGAGTGGTTATGAAAACATTCTTAAGGCTTGCAGTGGAGCAAACTGATCACTTTATATAAAGGCAGTTTAAATGGCCATCCTCAGTTTTCATTCTGCTTTTTGTCGTTGCATGAAGCACCCAAGTGTGTTTGGGGTACACAGAGCACAAACTGTTTCAATTCCTAAGGAGTTGGCCTAGATGTAGGCAGAACTCCAAACAGAGGAGTAGCCAGGCTGTCTTTCTTCCTGGTATGCCACTAGACCCTTGCTTACTTGTGCTTGTCAGCGGTCACTCAGCTGATGTTTCCCAGAAGTGCTGATTTTAACCATTTCCAACGTGGAAATGCACTTTTTTTTTCTCCAACCATTCCATTTGGCAAATGGGAAACTCCATTTGCTTTGGGCACAGTGGGGATGGATGAGGAGTCCTTGACTATCTTTTTGATGGAGCATATATTTGCTACTGTCAGATTTTACTACTATCAAAATTTCTTTCAGGAGCAAAAGTAAAGAGTAAATGGTGTGTGTGTGTGTGTGTGTGTGTGTGTGTGTATGTGTGTATGTGTGTGTGTGTATGTGTGTGTGTGTGTGTGTGTGTGTGTGTGTGCATATGTTTACGGGGAAAGCATAACTTCATGTAAGCTTAAGGATCATATCCTAGGAAGAGAACTATATTTACTATATTGACAGATTTTTTTCCCTAGAGGAATGGGTTTTAAACTTTGGTATATATATACCTATGTGTGTGTGTGTGTGTGTGTGTGTGTGTGTGTATCAGAGTTCTATGTATACTTAAAAAAAAATATATATATATATATTTGGGTGCCTGGATTTAGAAGTTTCCAGCTAAAAAAATGTAGGCTATAATCAAGGACCTATCAATCTGTATGTGTCAGTATTGGGTTTAAACTCAGGGCCTCACACTAAGCAAAAAAATGCTTAGCATTTTTGCTCAAGGCTGGTGCTCTACCACTTGAGCCATACCTCCAGTTCTACAAATCTATATTTTTAACAAGCTCAAAGTGATTCTGATAATATTGCCTAGGTTAAGAATGGCTATTATAGGCGTGGTAATAGAGAGACTTGGGTATAGCCCAGTGGCTTAGCACTTGCCTAACATGTGTGAGGTCCTGGGTTCACTTGCCATCCATGTGCACACATGCAAAGAATGGCAATAAAACAACATTTATTAAAAAAAATAAACCATGGGGTTAGGGTTTTATAAACAGCTAAGTTCTCTTTAGGCAGGACACCTTCCCATTGTGCCAAAATTATCTTTTCATTTCTTTTGAAATAAATCGTTTTTATACTACTCTGCTGCCTTTCTTCAAAGGCACCAGAAGCACTTTATTAGCATGAAGCCTCACAACACCTGTGTGAAGAAATGAGTAGGACTTTCTCGTGTGGAGAAGACCTGGAGCAGTTACCTTGCTCACGAATGCAATAATGGGATTCCAAGGCACCTTGGATTTCTTCTCCATACTCCAGACTTCTGGAAAGATTTCTGTACCTCATTCTTTAGTTACTGTCAAAGTTAGGAAATAAATGACATGTAAAAGAAAAAGTCTACTTGTTCTTTTTATGCCTCAAGAGTCCTTTTACGTCAATATTATGTTTAAGATATTAAGTAACCTGAAAGAAATGGAAGTTTTTGACATCACCACATTCATCCATTGTGATAATTGTCGAAGTGTATCTTTACTATGTCTACTAATATCACCAGATGTGTGCACTCTCTTGTCTAGGGAATGAGTTTTAAGTTCCAATAAAGTATTTTTGTTTGCGTTGTGTCAGTATGGTTGTTTCTCCTCTTTGATTTTAGTTTCAGTTACACTTGAATTGTAAGCATACATGATCTGACTCTAGAATTTCATTATTGGACAAGACCTGTTCAAAAGGAAACTTGCTTAACTACTTTGACCATTTTTCCCCAAACCAATATGTCAGACCTATAGTCTTCTAAGAGGAAAAGGGGATCGATTTTCTCCTTGCTGAGGTTCTTATTGTTTTTTTTTCCTTTAGATGGTATCTTCCTTCTCAGGAGGGGAAGATCAGGAAGATCAAGGTTCAAAACCAGCTTTGGCAAATCGTTATTGAGACTCCATCTCAACAAATTAGCTGGGTATTTGGGCATGGACTTGTCATTCCATAATGAATTGGAACATGGAGGTCTGAGGCTGGCCTAGCAAAAGCATAAAACTTTATCTGAAAATCAACTACAGGAAATATGGCTCAAAGTAGTAGAGTGCCCGCCTAGCAAGTGTGAGGCCCTAAGTTCAAAAACCACCAAACAGCGGCAAAAAAGAATTTGCAAGATGTTCCAAGCTTTTAGTTTATATCTCATAGTAACCCTGTGAGTTAGAGATTATGACTCTCAGTTTATAATACAAAGTATAATTGTCAAAATAGCATGATCACCATATTATAAAAGTACAAGCAATTTCCAGACACAAAATGAGAAAGATTTCTTTTTGTAGAAGTGAAGGAAAGCACTTTGATTTCCAACATGACTAAGTAATGATGCCTACTTAGGAGGGTTGCTTCAAATTAATTTTTTTCATGAAAAATTAGCTTACATTATTGTGCAAATAATAATTTAGGATGTCTATTTTCCAAGAATTGAAACTACACTTAATAAATTAAGATACAGTAACATTGATTACAATGTAATCTTTCTTTCGCTACTCACAGATATTTGTGGATGTTGGAAATGCCTTGAACTGAGTCTCAGAAAAGTAAGGGGTGAGTGTTTGCCAGGAACCATCTCCTTGATTGTGGTTGTACAACAGATTTTGGGGGGCTTTCTCTGCCTCCTGCCTCTCTCCTCCAGCATCTCTACATAGCCAGGTGGTGATCTAATTCTCTCTAGAGAATCCTGTCATCAACTTTTAAAGGCCCAGTGGGAACAATCCCCAAGGCCTGGGAGGCCTCATTTTGGGAGGTCAGAACTGAATGGTATGTGCTGGTGGAGAAGTTTCATGACCTCAAGTAACCTCAACTGCCACCAATCTGTATAAGATTATGAAGCATGAAGAATGTTCAAAAGAATGAAAGAGAGCTCTATTTTAAAGAACTCTCTCTCTCTACTTAGCAGTATTATATTGCACATAAAATACACAGTTTAAATACTAGCAGTGCCTGACAGTGTTTCCTCTGAATTATAATGTTGAGACTTTTTATTACATAGTTAGTTGTGTTTGAAGAATGCCAGTTAGAAAGATCCCACATCGAGTAAAGACTTAACCACAGTCAGTTGAAATAATTAGACCTTGGTGAACACATAGATCATATTCAGGAATATAAGACATTGTGCTATCACAACCTTCATGAATCTGTGTTCAGATCCTTTGTTCAGTCCCTGTGGCTGGGTGACTATGAGCACATTATTAAAGTCTCTGAAAGCCTCAGTTTCCTCATTAATAAAACACACCATGGGGCTTTTGTGGGAATTATGTAACTGGCATGTGATAGATGTCCAATAAATATTAGGTATTATTATCTTTTCTGTCATTATTCGCAGGAGAGTGGCTGAGGGGAGCAGTCAGCCTCTCTGGGCACAGGCGTTGGCAAGTGTTTGTAGTGCAGGGTTTCTCTGAGGAGAGTAAAGCGGCTTCTGTGATTCCCAACTTGAAAGACTGTGCCAGCTAGCATCCGTCTTCACGCATGATCTTGTCAAGCTTCTTCATCCTAAGGCATTCATGAATCAGCACATTTTTCTAGACTTGCCACCCAGAAGCTCTGACTCAGAAGCAAACAAAGGCCCATTCTCCACGAATCTAATCGACGCCACTCTGTCAGTTGGATTGCGATGGAAGATCGGATTTATTTTATTTTATTTTACATTTTCTTTTTCGCAAGAACTGTATGCCAGCTGCTCTGAAGGTGGGCCTGGAATCAGAAAACCTGAATGCTCTGATGTGTTTACTGAGCATTAATTGGCTTCAGTTGGGGGGCCTTTACTTTGCTGCCTTTCCAGGATGCCTTTGAGATTTCCTCTTGAGGGAATGCAATTTCTTGCCAAGTCTTCTGGGATTTCAGTTCCTAGCAGATCACAGCTGCATTAGTTGCTTTGTACTACATGCATTCCTGGTCCTACACTTTCCCTTGGCACAACACAGGAAAATAGGTTAGTTTTCTAGGTGCCATTCTGAAAACTTTTATAAAGCAACATGTTTCATAAAAGTAATCAACTAAGGTCAAAGTCCTGCTGTGAGTCACCTTAAAACTATGTAGACACAAGGCTATGCTCAGTTTTTATTCCTTTCAATGTTTTTGAAACAATAAGGTAAGTGATTATTTCCTCCAGGTTAGATGTGAAAATTCTGAACTATTTGCAGCTTTGATAGGGGCATCAGTAACAGTGGCCCAAACCAAATAACTCCGGGACTCTAAACAACAAAGGAGAAAGATAATTTTTGAAAAGTATGCCCTAGTTAATTTCCTGCATGAAAATTCTGTTTCTCACCGGAAACTCACTCCACTGAAGACACCTGTATTACATTGGAATAAAGGCAAAAAGGCACCAGAGCCCAGGGGGAGGGAGCTGTTTTACTTGACTGTTTCTTGTGGGCTTCATGTTATTCTAAATACTTCACCAGCTACATCTTGTCCTGAATAAGTGCTTTTGCAAGGCTGGGGCCTGACAAGAAACCACAAAGATGTCTTTTGAATGTTAAGGTGGTTGAGGTATGGCCCTCTGCTGGCAGGTCTGGATAGTTCGTTCCTCTTTTCATCTACCAAACCTTGAAGGAGGAGCTAAAATGTGGATAACAAAATGAGCAAGGCAAACTCCCTGTCCTCTTGGAACATGTCAAAGCCTCAAAGCTGATCAGGAAAATCAAGAATGTGTGGTGTTGTAAACAAAACCCCAGCTCCTACCAGAAGTTTTGCATGTTGGGGTAAGCCTTCAGCAAAGTCCAGTGGAGGAAAGTCACTCCTGCTGAGACTCATGCCTGAGAATGGATGTAATGGCCAAAAGACTTTATCTATTCATTTGTATGAAGACCAGCACAGCCACCTTTTTGTTGTAGGCGCAACCGGAAATGAAAAAGTAACCAGAAGGGATTTGAGGCTCCTGGAATGGGGTCACGGTGGTTCATTAAGTATGGTGTCAAGACAGGCTGGCTCAATCTTTGTTGTTCTAGAGACTGGCCCTCTGGTGGCTGTGTACCTTGGCCTCCATAGCTTTCTGTTGTGAATGTGGCTCCATTTCCTATTCTCTTCTCTGGTGTGTGCAGTCAGGTTATAGCCAACGCTACTGGTCAAGAGCCTAGGTGCCGATCATCTGCTCAGAGGTACATATTATATATTCTTTATGGTTCATCACTAGGCAGTCTATTTGTCAGCCTGCTTAACTTTTGCTAAAGGAACCACTATCACCAAGAGATCAACAAGGAAACAAAGACATCAGGTAAGTCAAACAATCTCTGTGTATTAGTCAGTTCAATGTCTGGTTGTCTCACTTTTCTTTTTACTTTTTATGCGCCAGTCCTGGGGCTTGAACTCAGGGGCCCAGTACACTAACCTTGAGCTTTTTGTATTCAAGGCTAGCACTCTACCATTTGGGGCCACAGCTCCACTTCTTTTGGTATGTAAATACAGAGTCTTACCAACTTCCCTCCCTGGGCAGATTTGGGGGTTATTGGCCCGTTAGAAAAACATTGAAAGCCAAGAATCGGAATGAGACCACCAGGAAAGGAGTATGGATAGAGAAAAGGGAAGGACTAGAGCTGGGCTTTTCAGTTTATTTCACAAAGTAGACTGAAAAGGAGTCAGTAAGCTGAGAGGAAAAAATGGCTCAAGGAGAGAATGACCCACTGTGTTGGCGATGCTGATGCAGGCATGCGGGCTTGACACGCATCATTGGTTTTAGCGGTGTGGAGGGCCATTTGTCCCTGTAAACATTGGCATGGGCAAGTAATTGGTGTGGAAGGGCCTCAGGAGAGTGGGTTCAAGAGAGACTGGGAAAAGTGGTTGGAAACTATCAAAATTAGCACCTGTGAAGGAGTTTTTTTCCTTATGTAATGATGAAAACATTGATAACTCTATTGACTGACTTGGGCAAATTTACCCAAAATTTCTGTTTCTGTCCAGACATGAGATCCCCCACCCCTTTAGTACTGGAGTTTGAACTCAGGGCTTTGATCTTATTCAGCTTGTGTGTTCAGATGTTGCTCTACCCCTTGAGCCATGCCTCCATCCCTGGGTTTTGTAGAAATAGCATCTCATGGACTTTCCTGCCCAAAGTTGGCCTTAAACCTTGAAGTTCTAAGTCTCAGCCTCCTGAATAGTTAAGATGATAGCTGTGAGCCACTGGCACCCAACAACTCTGTGAAATTTAAATACAGGGTCAACTTGTTTTGCTTTGGCTCATCCTTTGATTATCATTACCCAATGGGGCTGACTTGGGAGAGACTTTACAAACATATTGACAGTCCTGGCAAAACAACTCGAACTGTCTGTCTAATGAATGAATGATCCTTGGCCTTGTTTCCTAAGAAAGTACTTCCATTGTGTGGGGTAAGCTGGGGTGAGGCATTCTGGTTGTACCTGTTGGGTTGTATAGTTGCATAGGTAAGGGTATCCAACAATAGCCCCTTTGATCCTGCAGGACTCCTTGATATATGAAGCGCTTTCTTTATCCAGATTCTTATCTGAGCCTCATGATGACCACATGGCAGGCGAGGAGGAGGAAACATAGAAGGAAACAGAGGATTCCAGTGCCTAAGGTATTGCCTTGGGGCCTAGAGCTGCCCAGGATGTCTCCGTAATAGTGTTTGGTCGATTCTGTTTG